TCCTGTGCGGGCTGGCTGCCCTCTGGTGCCCGCCGGGGGAAGTGCCGGGGGCTCTGCCGTGTCCCCAAGTGCCGGTGGGCACAGCCCACCCGCCAGTCCCTCACCTGTGCTCCCAGGGGAGAGCGCGAGGGCCAGAGAGCCTAAAGCGGGGCGGGTTGGGCCTGAGCCGAGGGCTCTGCACCGTGGGTGCCGTGGGGCGCGCTGAAGGCTGCTGTCTTGTGCTGCCCGAGTCTCCCCTGGCCGTGACCAGAGCTTAGCTGCTGGCCCCGAGGTGGGTACCCGAAGTTAGGGGAGATGGTTCCTCAACGGAGAGACCAAAGCAGCTGCCTCTGACTGGGGAGCGAGGGCCAAGGACAGCTGTGCAGAGTGTCTCAAACAAAAGGACATCTTAAAAACAGCACGGCAAGTAAATTCTCATTTATTTGGTTCAGCTGTGATGGGCTAACATCTGTTAGTTCTGTACAGAAGCGCTAAAGACACTTGTCCTGCATCCCTTTGCCACAGCGGGTTGTGTGTTACCTTCTTTTGGAAGTTTGTCTGCAACAAGCAGAATATCAAACTCACTAGTAAAGAACAAACTCAGCTCCTAAAGCCAAACGGTATTGGGGGTCCGGTATCCCGTCTTACTTCTAACTATGAAGTCTAGACAGCAGCATAAGCACACTTTCAAAGCAAAAGATGCAGGTAGGAATCTTCTATTTTGTTGTTACATTTAAATATCAGTTTTCCCACAAAGACGGGCATGTGAATGAAATAGCAGGTACAATTCTGAGGTTCTTTTTTCCTCCTTCCTTAGCAATTTTCCACCTAAGGATGGAATTTCGCAACTAGCAATAATCTGAAGCACATGTTGCGATGGTGTTGTATCCAAAACCCACCATGCTGTTGTATTCTGACACACAGGGGAAAGCCTGTGTAAAATACCGCTGAGCATGCACCTCTATGTTTTCTGCATATGGATATTTTTTTTTTTTTTGGAAGAAAGGGATAAGTAGTAAAAAAACCCCTCTTGGTTAGTTCTGGAGTGGTGAAACTTCTGCTTGTCTCATTCATCCTGAGGAAGTTAAGTCTTTAGTTCACATTTCTCAGAGATTTTTCTCTAGTGCTCACAACTGCTGACTACCCTCCTTAGCCCATTGTGTTGATGCAGAATAGAGTATAAATGCAAATGTGTAATTCAAAGTTTCTCCCTGTTTTCTCCTTAAGATCCCACGTTATGGCAAAGAATTATTACAGCCCACATTTCATTCTGTAGAATAAATCACTGAATACATGTCCTGTGACTTCATTGGCTGCAGGAGGAGAGATGCAGGAAGAAAGCTAGATAAATTGATAGGAGGAATATCAGACCAAGCTCTGGAGGAGAGCAGGATATTCTGCATTAAAAGGGTAATCCTTGTGAGTTTTGCACCTGAAGGGAATAAAAGACCTAATTTCAGCCCCTCTTCTTCAAAATGTATCAAGGTCTAGCGCGGGGCTTAGAGGAGCCACCAAGGCAGCATATGATCTGTGTCACTGTAGAATGGATTTGTTCCTATTTGTTTTCCTGGACGCTGTTTGTGTACTAGGGGCATTCGGGTCACTTTGTCATTCAGGCTCTCAGCATTCTAGGTGACTGTTGAGATGCAAAATGTCTGTGTATACAGTATTCATAACCAAAGGGTTGGGAAACACCAAATACTAAATACTACCACTTACGTGCTCATTGTGTAGGCTCTCCAGTTTTTGTTGAAGCTGAAAATAGTTGCCATCTCCTCTTTAGTCAGTTCAAAGTCAAACATCTAACAAGAGAAACAGCTGGTAATCACTGTTGAACAGACTGGGCACTGTAAGCAAACTCCCAAAAATGGAGGGGAGGTGGCTAGAAGAAACAACTGGTTCACAAAGGAGGGAAAGGCATCTGTGTATTTCCAAGAATTCATTGGCAGAGGGAATAAAGAGTATTTAACGTTGCTCCTCTTTAGTCAGTTCAAAGTCAAACATCTAACAAGAGAAACAGCTGGTAATCACTGTTGAACAGACTGGGCACTGTAAGCAAACTCCCAAAAATGGAGGGGAGGTGGCTAGAAGAAACAACTGGTTCACAAAGGAGGGAAAGGCATCTGTGTATTTCCAAGAATTCATTGGCAGAGGGAATAAAAAATTACATATGCCAGCTGTTGCAAGACTCCTGGCAAGCACTGAGTGCTGCATACTCCACTTGTGAAGGATGCATCTTTGTCCTGTTCCGTAGGAACATCGAGAAGACTTTCACATTTCAAGTAATCCTGCTAAGTCTTTTGAAATCCTGGTGACCAGTTTCAGTCAAGGACCACTGACTTCACAGTGAAGCAACACAGCTTATGGACACCAGGACTGTTTTGTTAACGGTGCTTGCTCTACCTAAGCCTTTTGAGGTGTGTAACTGCAACTGGGTGCCAGACAAGTGCATATGCCAATTCATCGGCATTCTGTGGAATAGGAGACACCAAAAAACAAAGCAGCAAGCACTGCCCCTTGTATATTCCCATTCGTTCACCTATGATAAGTAATGTATAGCATTAAGATTTGTGCTCCAATACCTCTTCTGCGTTTTTTTGCCTCACCTTGAGATTGTAGGTTACATTCTTTTGGAAGCTTTGGTTGGAAATACTCAAGATGGCCTCCATCTGACACATCAGATATACACAAGTCCCTAGAATATATGTAGTTTAGAATCTTACATATTCTCAGTATATCAGTGTGTTGAGCAGAATATTTGCATGTTCTGTTTCTTTCCTGTTGAAACAAGTGAGACCGAGTACTAATAACCCTTAAAGCTGTAACATATCTGAGACCTATCGTGTTATGGTTATGAGAGAGACAGGACAAGCCAGAAGTGCAAGTTTTGTTCACACCTCATTTGAGAGCAAAAGCTTCTTTCCTTTCAATCACACAAAAAGGTTTGTTTTGCACTTGTCACAAGGTAAGGGAGCTCCAGGCAGTGCAGCACTGCTAAGCTGAATTCACCAAGTGGACTAATGGAGGAATGGCCTGTCAGGGAGCCTTACATATGCACAGAAAGACTCTTGGTACGTATGAGCTACGGACGGGAGACTGACAGGAGAGTAATAACTGAAGCATTTACAAGGTGTAATACCGTGTGTCCCTCATCTACTACTCCAGTGAGTCAGTGCTGTCTTTCCTGGGGAGCTGACTCTGACCTGTCTCAGTGCCCAACAAAGCTCACCTGCATCCTCAGCCATGAGGAACACGCTTTGCCAGGGGAAAGCTTTACTCATACTTACAGTTAGAACCGAGACCTGTCCCAGTGATTCAGCACAGCCTGGACGGAACATGCACTTGCTCCAGCATCAGGCTCTGGGCAGCAGCTCAGCATTAACACTCAGTTCTACCTGGCACCTTCTGCTTCTATGCAGTCTCCCCTCTTCCCCTAGTCTGTCACTCCGGGTTTTTATAGCCAGATGTCAGCACAGGCTACCAGGTGATGCCACTGTACAGCTCTCCAGCAGTTTCAGGTGTTGATCTCCTGTTGCTTGTTGATCCACAGTCAATACTAAGACTTGTGTACTCGACTCTTCTTGTCCACATGGCTCTCAACCACAGCTTATTCTGCCAAGTTATTCATCTTCTGATCAAGACAAGATCTTGATGCTCCCATGACATGACGTAAAACTGAATACGGATGATGGTGTCCAACAATATTGTTGATGCAAGTGGCTTGGTTCATTATTTTTTTTCCACATTACCGCTGGTTTGGAAGTTCTAGTCTAACCTAAACTTTTGTTTTGGATAGGTCTCAAATTGAACACTAATCTCTGTCCAGTTTCAGCCTGTAAAAGCCTGTGACTGAAATAAGGCCCAGTATGAGTTCATGTGCGCCTGAAGGTCTAGTCATTACTCCCATTTATTTTTCTTTCCAAGATAGTTTTGGGCTGCACTCTAGAAGTGAAGTTAATTGTTGTAGCTTCTCTTCAGGCAGTGATAACGCAGTTAATTCTGTCAGAGTGGATCTTCCTTCTGTACTCACATACCCTTACCCAGCAGCCTTAAGTGGTGTTGATACAGGACAGAAGAAAAGAAAGATTCAGTTGCTAGTTCATTCTTCATACTTTCTGCTTTGCAATTTCAGCCATGCAGAGATACATCTGCTGATTATAAAATTATTATAGCCCATGTTTTGTTCTTTAGAACAATTTTACTATTTCTTTCCACCAAAGGAGAAAAACCCCAGTCACTGAATACATACACAGTGCCTTTGCTGGCAGGAGAGATACAGTGTGCAAGCTACACAGCGGGCAATTCTAGGCAGCAGTAGAAGCTCATTAGACCCCGAGGCCTGCAGGAGGGCAGGGTAAAACCATCTTCAGTATTCTGCATTGAAAGGGTACTCCTTGTGATTTTTGCACCTGGAGGGAGTCAAAGAAGAAAGATTACTCTCAAGGCTGAAATAAATGCTCTACAGAGTTACACTAGGTATATAGAGGAGCCTTCAAAGGAGGCTCTGAATTGTGTGACTGCAGGATGAAATTAAGAGATTGATTAGTGTAGAAATTGCATATATGACCAACAAGTTCAAGCCTCTTCCTATTATTCAGGCACTGAACAGTGGTGGGACCAAATTACTCTCTAGATACAGAGCTGAAGTTCACACTGCTTACAGAAAAGAGCAGTTTCCATCTGCAAGCCATTGTTCTTCATACTGCACTTCAGGTGGTCATTCCCTCCCCAACCACCTATGTAAGAGCCGACATCAGTTTATAACAGCTCACAGAATAAAATTACCACAAATCTAGAAGTGCCTAATGATCATTTCTCCATTATGGACTCAGCCAAAGTTATCAACTTTTGGGACGCCAGCCAAAGTTTCCTGGAGAAAGGATTCACAATGACTACGTAGTATGACTTGGCCTTTAGTCAATAAAGTGAAAATGTAACTCCACCAAGAGGTTAAATAACAGATGCGTCATCCCTCAAACGATTTCAGATTTCAAAATATACCCAATTTCAACAGCTACACCAGTACCTGTCAGATCAGAATAAAGATTATTGAAAACATAACAGGTTGGAAGGAAACAAGCTGTCACTTACGTGATCATTGCACAGATCCTCCAGTTTCTATTTAAGCTGAGAAGGGTTGCCATGTCTTCTTTGGTCAATTCAAAATCAAACACCTACAAAGAGAAACAGCGGGAAATCACCTCTGAACAAGTTAAATCAGAAGCAAGATTCAAGAGATGAAAGAACAAGTTCATATGGAAAAGGGTGCTGGTTAGAAACGATGGCTTTAGGAGACAGGCACAGAAGTCTCTTGGGATTTTCACGACTCTACTGGCAGGGGAAGAAACAAAAAAGACTGCCAGTTGCATTTACATGTGCCAGCTGTTCCAAGATATCTGGTGAACACTTAGTGTTGTAGAATGCCTCTATTTGTGGAACATGCATTTCTTTCTAATTCCAAAAGAAACATGTAGAAAACTGGTATTTCAATAAATCCAGCTATGTTACTTCTGAAATTTGTGTCCAGTATCAGGAAAAACCTGACTTAAGTCAAAGAAGCCATGTTGTTTATTGACACCAGGACTTCTCCCTTAACATCGCTTACTCTGTGTTTTGGGGAAGGTTACTGCACGTCAGCTACACACAAGCCCTGCCCACCACTTCACCCACAAGCCATGGAACAGCAGACACTACGTAAGTTAACTGATAAGGTTATCAGCATACCGTTTAAGAACTCTATGTTATTGCCAGCTGTAGTGTTCATTGTAGCCCTAGCTTCCAAACAGAGAAATCATGCTCCTCTTGCCCGCAGAGGAGTTGGGAGGAAGGCTGACAGAGGGCCGCTGCTCGCTGCGCCGCCGGAAGGGCAGCATCCCGGTCACTCCTCATGCCTCACCTTGAAGTTCTCCACAATGCGCTGGGGAGTGACAGACTTGGGAATCGCAATCACGTTTCTCTGGATCTGGAAGCGAAGGAGAACCTGCAGGGACAGACCACTGCATCAGAGGGAGGACGACTCCTGCTCTGGAGGAAGCAGAGCCTGTTCCAACAGCTGTTTTCCTTAAGCTATATCTGCTTCTGTAGACCTGTATTCCAAATCATTCCTGTCCCTGTGGCCTAGGTACCACTTCCTGAAGAGCAAAGAGGGAAGTGGTGGAAGTCCACATGGAAGACCTTCTTTCCTATCCAGCTTTAGGACATTCAATTCCCTCTCTCCCCACCCGGACTTCCAGCACTCAATGCAAGGCTTTCATTTCTTTGCAACAGGACTTGAGGGGGAAAGCAACATCTGAAGATGGGTTAAGAATTTTTTTCTGGCTGAGGGCCAAAGAACTTCAAGTATGTACTGCAGGCCACATAGACAACCTGCATTGCTACTTCACACCACAGAAAATCACCACAGTTCATAGGGAACATGGATAGAGGCTGTACTCTCTCTCTCTCTCCAGGCATAGTTTCCTTCACAGCTCTGTTACAGAAAGGGGTACCCGCTGTCTGGCACCCACGTACCTGTGCTGGGGTTTTGTTGTGCTTGGCTGCAATCTCTTTGATCTTGGGGTCATCCAGAAGGGAAGGATCCTCTGGCTTTGCCCTACAAAGAGGCAAAAAGGAAGAAATGGCAAAGACTCTCTACAGAAAAATTCTACCTAGTGTGAATATATTTTAAAAAATAAAAGGATGAAGTGTGCACACACCTGCACCATTACTCATTCAATTAGTCTGAATGCTTCAAACTTAAACCATACTAACCCACTTGGAAATTACCTGTCAGGGCGCCCAAGGGGACAATATGCTGTCACAGTGATCCCTTTGGATTGGCAATAGTTGATAAGCTTTTCCTGGGGAAGGTATGGATGACACTCGATCTGCCAACACAGGAGTAGACTGTGTAGAACTACTGTCATGTTCCCATGCTCCAGAGATTTGTTTTCTGAATCTTAACTTCCAAGTCTCAGGCTGGCTTAATCCTACACTGCATGTGGTCTGTGTGACAAGACTATAATTCTATAGGGCAAAGACTTTTACATTGAGTCCTTTGTGCTTTTTTGTTCTGAGTGGCTTTATAAAAATCATTGATTGCAGTCAGAATGATGCTCATGTCTGGATTCTTTGTCCCTCCAGAGAGGATGCTTCATAGGGAAATACACCACAATTTGTAAACAGTGGTTCAACGAGGTGAGACAAAAAAGAAGTATTCCAGTCCTTTTTGTACCGAGAAATATCCACAGCACAGGATTTAGAGCACGTGCTGTGTCTGCTTTGTTCTCCCTTTTTCCATTTCCTCATTCAACTGTAAGCAGATCTTTATAATCCCTGGAAACTCTTCACCTGCAGTCACTTTGCAGCTTACCTGGTTATTGGCAGGCTTGTGCTTCAGCCCCGGCTTGTTCAAGAGTCTTTCAGTCTGCTCACGGTTAAAGTTGGAGATGCCAATGGCTTTTACCAGACCAGCATCCACCAGCTCTTCCATGGCCTAACAAAGGGGAGCACAGTCAGCATCTGGTAGGCAAGACATGACCCAAATACATTCTTCCTGACACGGTTTCTTTCCCTTCCTGGGAAGCACAAAATAATGGGACTTCACAGGTTTTTGATTCTCAAGGGAAAAAGCGGGTACTGGTATCTGTGCCATATCTCCTATTACACCCAAACCCAAAAACTATTGTTGGGAATGTGAAATCACCAAGTTAGACAATGAAAAGATGACTAACTCTGCTGCTGTCACAGCACTGGAAGGCTATGCCCTTGGACAGTGGTAGGATTAAAAACAAAGTTTTTGTTTCTGCAAAATCTGTTTGAGCAGTTCAAGAACTGCAGGGAAGAAAAGCTGTACCATTATGGCCAAGTAAATAACTTTCTCTAACCTCAGTCTGGTCTGCAGCTCCACTGAAAGTGACCGTGCAGCTCAGTGAGCTGAGATACTAATCCACAGTGATCAGGTGTAACAGCTTGACTAAGCAGGCAGGTGTTTAAAACCTACCACATGCTTTTGTGACTTCTTCCCAACTAATTGTGCATACATGTGTGAGCCATTCTGTGGCTGCTGAAGCCAACACCACTGCTGAGCACAGAAGACAATTCTCCTGCTGTGGCTGAGCTTACCTCCCACGTGTGTAGAATATCTGTGTTGCTGGGTATTGACATGCCTTTGTCATCTGTGGGAAACAGCTCCTCCCCTGCCTGTCCGTGAGAAAGAAAATGCTTGAAAAATCTCTTGAGAAGTTCACTTAGTGCCATGAGAGCTCACAAACATGATAGCTTAAGAATTAGTATTCTTGCCTGCACCAGAAGTTTATCTACATTCGGTCACTCCTTCCCTGAGGAGCAGGAGGAATTTAAGGCATTTTTGCCAGTGACCGTTTGCATAAAGAGGTTTTTCTGATGGGCCCCTCAAAGTGTTGACTCACCCAAACAACCACAGGGAAACAAATCACTCAGAACTACAGCCTCCAGTCTCATACATGTTCACTTCATGTACTGTTCTTTGGTGCCCACTTAGGTTTGTACTTTTCCAGAAAGTACAAACTTTGTTTGAACCGGTTTGTATTTTTCCAGAAAGACGTCCAGGGACACGTAGCTTTGGTCTGTACCAGACCAGATCTGCCACAAAGAGGTATTATGCTCCCTGACAGTTCTTCCATGACAAAGTAGTTCAGCGTAAAGCCACTAATACTAGAAAAGTTGTGTCTAAGTTACAAAAAGACCCTAAGACTGAACTTAAACAGCTGTTTGCTACTGTTACCATGAGACAGTTTAATTTTCACAGCTTTGTTAACAGAATGCTAAACTAGAGTATAAAATAAAGGTGGGCATCTCAAAAGCATCAGGTAGGATGGGGACTGATCAGACTGTAACAGGAAGGAAAGGCTAAGACTAGAAATAGTCAGACTGGGATATCAGCTCCTTCACTAATCTGAAAGAGTGAGGCCACCCCAAGAAGTTTCACCTTTTGAATGCCTGTCTCAGTGGAACAATGCTAAGGCTCCTGCAGGTAAGGTCAGCCCAGTCTATGCTGTATTAAGGACTTGCTGGTTTCCATTTCTCTCTCTAACCAGCAGTATTTTCTCTTGCTCTGTGATTCTCTAACACACAGAAGACAACTACTGATAGGCAAAGTGCAGTCCCCTTTCTGGCAAGGGATAATTTTCGGATCAGCATACACTGATTCGTAACAGAAATGGAGAGCAGCGTATGTTGCGCTTGCAGCTCGGAGACCTCCCCCTAGTTTTCAGACCATCATTTCCAGAATTAAAGGGGTATATGAGCAGCAGTCCCAGAGGATCAACAGCCTGGCTCGCATAGCCAGAATAAAGCTGAGCACCAGAATCGGGCTGGTACGCAACAGAAACACTATTGTCTTTCTCAGTCAGGGCAACTGTTGGGCTGTAAAGCCACACAACTCTCCAAAAGCAGCAGTCACAGGAGGGAAAGCCAAGGGCATTGCCATTAGTTACCTTCAAACCAAAAGGCCAGTGCATGAGGTAGAGATCCAGGTAATCCAGTTTCAGGTCGGCAAGAGTCTTCTGGCAGGCTCCCTTCACCAGAGGCTTATCATGAAACGTGCACCACAGCTAGAGAAAAAGCCAAGGCACACAGTGAGCTCCTGGGTTAAACCTCTCGGGTCCTTTCCTGCACAACACAGCAATGCTCCATCTTCTTTGGAAGGTGATGTGGAATTAAGTCATCTTAGTGCTCTTCAGATGGGGCTTGCTCAGTGATGGGACTGGCCCCTGACATGGAATTCCGTGTGTGCAGTAGCAGCACAGGTATTTGAGCAGGATCATAACAAAGTCCTCTGGTACCATTACTTACGGCATGATCTGTGCTACCCCCTTTTACACAGGGTCTGCCTTTGCAATAGGTGGCTTTTCAGTGAAGACATATCTGTCATTCCTGGCCATGCATAAAGCTCCTGCATTGAATGCAGCAGGCAAAGTCATGAAAACGCAAAAAAGCCACAAAGAAGTGGTTGGCACCAACCTTTACCAAGGGAAGAGGCAACTTCAGAATCCAGCTAAATAGCCCATTTTTCTTAATAAGCAAGAGAAAGAGAACACACCCACCACACATTTCCTTGGGACAGGTGCTGAGCAGATCCACTGTCCCAAGGTGCCCAGAAGCTCATGTTCCCCACATGGCAGGGACACCCCTTTGGCAGGACTGCGAGCCCGGATGCGGGAACACGCACCGGCCACTGCCAGGCTCGCCCCCTCTGCTGTGCTTGAGCAGTCAGGGAGGTGCCGTTGCATCAGTATTTGGAAGGCAGAACCTTCCACACTGGTTCTGCCGCAATATTGGTCCTTTACACTGAGTGATCTCAGGCCTCTGCACCATGGGCTTCTACCTTGCTTGGCGCTACCTGGCCCACTGCTTTTTTCTGCTTCCCTTCTGCACCAGTTGGTCTGCAGGTGTGAGATGTAGGGCCAAGTTCCTCCTCATCCATCCCCCAGTACTTCTGAGTCTCCTCAGCCAAGTGCCAGACCCGAGATTTTGGGGGTGAAATCAGAGTCTTGACTACCTTCAGTGTTACTGGATTGACTGGGGAAGAAAGCTGCCACCAGATAGTTGAGTAGGGAGAAGAATCACCCTTAAGGAGCTCAATCTGTGTACCCAGTTGATACAACAATAAAACTAATATCACTGGACAAGAAAGAATCCAATTGCATCACTGTGCTGATAAAGTGAAACAAGAAAGTAGTATCAGGAATGACCCTCATTTATGTTACAAGTTTCTCCAGTGCTACAGCATAAAGCTAGTTTCCTGCTGTAAAAATATCACAGGTAAAGCTCGTCTGTCCATGACCTGAGACCATTTGATCCTTACCTTACTGACAATGAAGAGGTCCTCCCGTTTCACAACGCCTTCCTTGATTTTCTGCTGGATCCCATCCCCAACTTCACTCTCGTTCTGGTACACGTAGGCGCAGTCAAAGTGGCGGTACCCAGCATCGATGGCAGCCATCACTGCACCTTCCACCTTACCTGGCGGGGACTGAAGGGAAAAGTCTGTCTCAAGACGGGATTCTCACATGCTGCTCCCTAGCTTTGAGAGGAGCTGCTCCATCGCGCATCCCTAGGCCTGCACACATCCCAAGCACAGGCTCCTCAGCTTAAAGCCAGCCTCCAGCTGTTCCCCCGTCCCTCTCCTCCAGCGCGGAGGCCCCAACACGGGGGTCGGCTCCAGGGCCGGGCCGCAGCCTCCCCCCCT